TGAGCCATGGCAATCATGGGAGGCACAACAACTTTCGGTGGCCTCGGAGGAGGAGGATCTAATCCTACCATGATAGAGGGTGTTGGGGTGTTCCTAATTCTTTTCTCTTTGTTCTTTAACATTTCCTTCCTCACAGCCTCTAACTCTGCCCTTAATTGCTCATTTTCCCAGTGATAGATTTCTCAGGCAAAGCAATTAGAGGTGGACACTTCTGATCATACTCAACCGTCTCCTCTCCTAGGGCAGACTCATCCTCAGGGTCAAGAGATCCCTCTTCTAGCCTCAGACGGGGGTCCTCATAAAAGGGTGGCAAGGCTAATGGAGCTGGTTCTGACAGAGCGGAAGATTTGGTTTCACTTTTATCCCAGCCACTGCTTATCGGATTCTCCTCTTTAGTCTCAGCCTTTGCTCCTCGGGCCCCAAGCATAGTCCTTACAAAAACTGAGTGACTGTTTCCTTGCCCCATCTTCTCCCAAGATAAATACTCACCGCTCCCCAATCTTACCAAGCACACTCACTTAATTTCTCCAGTGGTGTCCTTCACTTTTTCCCCTACTTTTCAGGTCCCTGTTCAGGCGCCACTTGCTGGTGCTAGCCAGCCAAGATGGACAGTACCCAAAAAGGGGAATGAGGATTGAAAGAAAAAACAAGAGACAGAAAAGATACTTGGGAGGGCGGTCAGTAGAGACTGCAGCCCCAGTTTATTTTAGCTCCACCTTTTTATACAGAAGAACATCAGAGATAGCCACTATTTGCTTAACTCAATTAATTTCAACAGCTGTTGTTCCCACCTGTATCTGAGGGTCAAGGAGCGGTCAAATACTTGTTGTGAACTCCACCATATAAACACATGCCTCCTGACTTGGCAGATTAGGTACTGGTATGCAAAACACAAACTCAGTAAACAAGCAAGCCTGCCACAGGTCAATGTACATAATGGATTAATAGCTCCCAACACTGGAGTCACTTTTTTTTACATTTGTGTGCATGTGGTACTGGGGACCGAACACAGCCCTGCACGTGCCAGGCAAACATCTACCACTGAGCTACCCCCAGACATATCGGTATCATTTCTGAACATAGGTTCTAGGGACTGGCAAGATGGCTGCTTGCTGCACAAGCATTAAGGCCAGAGTTCAACCCCAACACCAAGTAAAGAGCTGGATGTAGTGGTGCCTGTTTGTAACCCAGCACTGGGGAGGCAGACAGGGCTCACTGACCAATCAGCCTAAGCAAAGTGGCTGCCTCTGGGTCCCTGTGAGAAGCCCTGTCTCATAAACAAGGTAGGCAGCCCCTGAGGCTGGCTCTCGAGGTTGACCTCTGGCTTCTATGTGGTCATACAGAATGGTCCACGAGTCAGATAGACACCCATCCTCCTGAGCTCAGCTGAGGGTCTTGGCCAAAGACCATCACAGCTGGGCTTGCTGACTACTAACACCCCAGGAAAGAACAAAGGGCAGAGAGAGTCACAGGACCCTCACCTGACCACAGGCTGGGGAAGAACAAGGGAGAGGCTCTCTATGAGGCTGTGCACAGAGAAGCCATCATCCATGCAGCTTTAGTGGGGAGCACCCACACTCCTGTAAGTAACGTAACCCCTCACCCACTGCTCTCTATGTAAGCCAACAAACTCTGGTTTCCCAGAGTGCAGTTTGACGGAATTGTACATCAGTTTGTTTGGGGGACCAGGGGAGGAGGGGATGACCATTATTCACATCTCTCCCCTAGGAAAGGAGTTTTAGCAACACCATATGCACCTACACATTGAGTGTGAACACACACACACAAAGATGCAAACAGGTTCCATCCTCATGCCAAAAACAGGGGAGCTGGTGCCACATGCACCATAAATTGGACCAAATTGCAGCTACTGTATCAGAAGTCAGATCTTTCAAAGAAGCTCATGGGAAGAGATAAAAATTGATCTCTAAAAACCTGTGCCCCTGTGAACCAGAGGTATCCAGAAGCTAAGTCAGCAAGAACCATTCCAAAGAGAAAGTCAGTGGGTCCACAGTTAAAGGAGACTAGTGCATGAACACTCAGTTTTGTCATGATGATACACACCGAGATCCAGGAGTTTATGGGAGCACAAAGGGGCAATCAATGCCCTATGATTTGGGAACAAGAAAGCACCCACAACCAATCTATCCTCATGAGAACAAATAAGCCTAGTGTAGTTGTCATGGCTGAGATCCCAGATCCTGTGGAGGCAGGAAGATCAGGAGGTCAAAGTCATACTCAGATACCTAGTGAGTTCTAGGCCAGCCTAAGCTTCACGAGACCCAACTCTAAAGAATACCCCACCACAATATGGATTTTGGCATACTTACACTCTTCAAAAAACAACTCGAATCAAGTCAGTGAGGTATCCGAGTAGGTAAAGGTGCTTGACCCAAGTCTGATGATGAGTTCCATCCCTGGGATTCACATGATGGACGGAGGGAACCAACTCCCACAGGTGTCCTCTGACTTTCACATGCATGTGCATGTGTGCACACATGCACACACACAATCACTGTAAACCACAAAGTCATGAGATGAAGCAAGATAATAAGGAATAGAGATGGCATCATGATGGGCACAAACAACCATAGTTATGATGAACGAGCTGTCTGCTCTCCTTGCATGAGAACATATTTTAAGGTCCTATTGAAAACACTTAGGGCTGGAGAGCTGGCTCAGTGGTTAAGAGCATTAGCTGCTCTTGTAGAGGACCCGGGTTTGATTCCCAGCATCCACATGGTGGCTAACAACTGTCCATAACTCCACTTCTAAGGAATCTGATGCCTTCTTCTGGCCTCCGTGGGCCTTGTATGACATGGTACACTTACATACATGCATGCCATACACATAAAATAAAAATAAAATATTAAAAAAGAATTAGTTTGTAGCATAGTCAGTCTTAGAGGATGTGACAGAAGTGTCCCAGGCACACATCCATGCCAACAGGCCAACTCGGCACACAGACCAGCGTGTCTTCCTTGTGGGAAAGCTAGGAAGGGTTCATCCCATGAAGAGATGTTCATTCCTGCAGAAGGGACTGAGCATTTCATTGTGGGGCCCATCTATGAAGAAACCTCTAGGAGGTAAAGCAGCTGGAGAGCAGTGGCCACGGTGACCATGATGTGTATTCAGTTCCGAGAACACCGTCCTCCCCATGTTGAATTGTGCAGGATGCAGTGGAAACCATCCACAAGCTGCCTGTCTCTTTTGATGACTGTAATGTGATGGACCTCAGTAAGTTCTTAATGATGGTGGACAGGCCACACAGACTACCCAAGAAAGCCCCTGGTGTGGTTCCTAATGTTGCATTTGCTCTTTTCTGTATGTGTTCATGTGCATGCACATGTGTGTGCATGTGCATGTGTGCACAGGCATGCACGCACAGGTGTACACTGAAGCCAGACAGCAGTGTCAGGTGTCTACCTCAATCTCTCCATTTTATTTTCTGAGACAGGGCCTCTCACTGAACCTGGAGCTCACCCATTAGACTAGACTGGCTGTTCAGGGAGCCTCAGACTCCTCCTGCTGATCTACCCCAGCGCTAGGATTACAGGCACACGCGGCTGTGCCCAACCTTTTCACATAGGTTCAACTCGTCCTCAGTCTGCGTGGCGAGCACTTACACAACTGAGCTATCTCCTTAGCTCCACATTTGGCAATTTTTATGAAAAGAAAAAATTATTCCAAAATAAAAGCCAGATGAACTGTTAGAAAAGGAAACTAAAAGGTAATATTCCTTAGTAATATTGATGCAAACATCCTAGCAGCTAAATCCAGCAACATATAAAGTGATTGACCACCGCAACCAAGCCAGGATGCTCCTTGAATTCAAAGATAACTCGGTATGTGAAAATCCATCCCTGCATGGTGGCATGTACCTTTAATCCAAGGACTCAGGCAGATCTCTGTGGGTTTGAGGTCATTGTGGTCTATATAACCAGTTCCAGACCACTCGGGGCTACATAGTGAGTCCATTTCAAAAGAGAAAAAAGAAAGAATAGAAAAATCAATGAATGTATGTCACATTCACAGAATGAAGGAAAAACAAAAACCACATGATTATCTTCAGTAAAAGCAGAGAAAATACTCAACAAAGTAACAAGGAAAACACCTCAACATGATAAACGTTAGATATTTTATTTTATTTTTTGGTCTTTTTGAGACAGGGTCTTCCTGTAGCCCCAGCTGGCCTAGAACTCACTATGTAGACCAGGCTGGCCTTGAACTCACAGAGATTCACCTGCCTCTGCCTCCTGTAAACCACTGATATTTTTAAAAACCCACAATAGGGGCTGGAGAGATGGCTCAGCAGTTAAGCACACTGGATGCTCTTGCAGAGGACCCAAGTTCGGTTTCCAGCACCCATGTCTAGGGGCTCACAACCACCTGTGACTCCAGCTCCAGGAGATTCAATGCCCTCTTCTGGCTTCTGTGGGCGTTGCACTAACGTGCAGACACACAGAAACACACACAAGACACTAAAATAAAAATTAAATTTTATTTTTATGTGTATGAAATGAGTGTTTTGCCTGCATGTATGTAACTGCACCTCAGCATGCAATGCCAGCGGAGTCAGAAGAGGGCGTCAGATTCCTTGGAATTGGACTTACAGATGTTTGTTAGCTGCCATGTAGATGCTGGGACCTGAACCTGGGTCCTCTGCCAGTGCTCTTAACAGCTGAGTCAGCTCTCCAGCCCCAACACACACAAAACTTTTTAAATGTAATTTTTAAAATGAGAAAAAAAAACCCACAATGAATTACCACTTTCCGGCCTGTAGGATAATTAATGTCTAAAAACAGAAATGGGAGCTGGAGAGATGGCTCAGTGTTTTGCAGAGGACCCGGGTTCAGTTCCCAGCACCCACAAGGTGGCTAAAGAACGTCAGCAACTCCAATTCGAGCGGCTCCGAGGCCCTTGTCTGCCCTCCAGGAGAACTGCTAGACGGGGTGCACGGACACGTTGACAAAGCCCCGCCCCCGGACAGCCCCGCCCACCTTCGCCCCACACGCCCCGCCCCCGCCCCGCCTACGTGACCCGCTTCACACCCCACCCCCAGGGTCCGTTCCTCCCTGGCGCTGCGTGTAGCCCACGTGGGCTCCTTGAGGCGCAGCGGTCCACCTCGTCCTCCTGGTCCGTGACCTTTTACCCGCTCCGCGGCGGGCCTCGCGTCGACCCCACGCACATGGAGGCCTCCTCTCAGGATCCTGGCAACCGCCTGCAGCACCTTTCCCGCGGGGCCTTTCCGCCCCGTTTCTGGGCGCATGCGCCGCTCCTGGCCTCGTGTGCCCGCTATGAACCACTTTGCCGCCCACTTTACGCAAACTGCCGAGAGGCTAGCGCATGCGCAGCAGAATTCCGATGCCCTCCCTGGAGCTTCTGGGGCCAGTGAAGCGGAAATGGTAGTGGAAGACTTGAGTTTCACATTTTTACGTGTAGATGTTTTCTTTAATATTTCATTTATTATTTTCATTTTATGTGTGTGAGTGTACTGGCTGCATGTATGTGAGTGCACCCATGCCGTCCAGTGCCCGTGGAGGTCAGAAGAGGCCATCGGATCCCCTGGAACTGGAGTTACAGATAGTTGTTAGCGGCCATGTGGGTGCTGGGAACTGAACCCTGGTCCTCTGCAAGACCAGTCAGTGCTCTTAACCGCTGAGCAATCTCTTCAGCCCCTATAACGTGTAGGTTTTTATAGTTATTTTTATTTTATGTGTACGAGTGTACTACCTGCATGTGTGTAAGTGCACACATGTCATGCTATGCCCGCGGAGGTCAGAAGAGGGCGTCGGATTCCCTGGTGGAGTTATGGACAGTTGTTAGCCGCCATGTGGGTGCTGGGAACTGAACCCTGGTCCTCTGCAAGACCAGTCAGTGCTCTTAATGTATTGCCTGCACATAGGTAAGTGCACCCATGTCATGCAATGCTAGCGGGGGACAGAAGAGACTGTTGAATCCCCTGGGACTGGAGTTACAGACAGTTGTTAGCTGTCATGTGGGTGCTGGGATTTGAACCCAGGTCTTCTGCAAGAACAACCAGTGTTCTTAACCACTGAGCCATCTCTCCAGCCCCATATATATGTATTTTTATCACTATTTTATGTGTACAGGTGTTTCACCTGCATATAAGTGAACCACATACATGCAGTGCCCACACAGGCCAGAAGAGTTTTGGATTCCCTGGAACTAGATAGCTCTTAGCTGCCATGTGGTTGCTAGGTCTCTCTCCAGTCCCTGCCCCTTTGTGTGTGTGTGTGTGTGTGTGTGTGTGTGTGTGTGTGTGTGTATGTATATATGTGCATCATGTGCATGCAGGAGCCAGTGGAAGTCAGAAAAGAGCATCAGATTCCTTGAAGCTGGTACTATAGGCAGCTCTGACCTGTCCTGTGGGTGCTGGAAACCGAATTCAGGTCCCCTGCAAGAGCAGTAAGTGCTCTTAACCTAACCACTGAGCCATCTCTCTACACTCTGGAAGGTATTCTAAAGAGATACTTATATCTCAATCTCTCAGACTGTTGAAATAATGGACTTCAAAGAAATTGGAATCTCCCCAGGAATCTCAGCTGGGAGAAGGAAAAGGTGCCAGCCAGGGGGGACTTGTCTTCTGGAAAGAGGATTCACACAGTTCTAACAACTTGTCAGACCACCTTACAAGATACAGCTGAAGCCTAGATAACCAAAGGTGGATCCGTGAACTGGACCACACCTTGACAGAATTGCATAGGTGTGCACGTCCCTGGCCCTCTATTAAATTTCAGTCTCAGGGCTGGAAAGATGGTTCAGCGTTAAGAGCACTGGCTGCTCTTGCAGAGGACCCAGTTCAATTCCCAACAGGCCCCATGGTGGCTAACAATTGTCCATAACTCCATTCCCTGTGGATCTGACGTCCTCTTCTGACCTGTGTGGGCACTGCACGACACGGATGCAATTACATACATTCAAACAATACATTCATACACATAAAACTAACTTTTTTTTTGGTCTTTTTGAGACAGGGTCTCCCTGTAGCCCCAGCTGTCCTGGAACTCACTATGTAGACCAGGCTAGCCTTGAACTCACAGAGATCCGCCTGCCTCTGCCTCCTGATTACTGGGATTAAAGGCATGCACCACTATGCCTAGCTAAATATTTTATTATTTTTATTTTATATGTATGAGTGTATTGCCTGCATATATGTGAGTGCACCCATGTTGTGCAATGCTGTGGAGGTCAGAAGAGGGTTTCAGATTCCCCTGGAACTGGAGTTAAGGACGGTTTGTAGCCACCATGTGGGTGCTGGGAATCAAACCCAGGTCCTCTGCAAGAGCAGTCAGTGCTCTTAACCACTGAGCCATCTCTCCAGCCCCCAAATAAAAATAATTCTAAAAATTAAAAAAAAAACCCTTCAGTTGCACACCAGGAACCCAGGATGGACTGGGCACTGGGGGTAAGGCACTGGATCTCTGTTCCTCTTCCCAATGTGGCCACATTAAATACATCTTTTTCTGCTTCCCACTGTTAATTTGGCTTCTTAAAATTGGCTTGAGGCTAGGTGGCTGAGCCTGACTAGGACCACGGGCTGGATAGGAAAGAACTGACTTTTGAGGGTTCACACACACACCAGTCTTAGTTTGCCTTCTATTGCTATGATAAAAACACTCTGACCAAAACCAACTTGGGGAAGAAAGGGATTGTTTAGCTTATGTCTCTTGGATTACAGCTCATCACTGAGGGAGCCCAAGGTAGGAACTCAGGGCAGGAACCTGGAGGCAGGAGCTGGAGCACAGGCCATGGAGGAACGCTGCTTACTGGCTTGTTCCCCTGGCCGGTGCTCAGCTTGCTTTCTTATACAACAGAGGACCACCAGTCCAGGGGTTGCACTGCCCACAGTGGGCTGGGCCCTCCCACATCACTCATCAACCAAGAAAATGCCCCACAGACATGGCCACAGGCCATTTTAATGGAGAAAGTTCCTCAATTGAGGTTCCCTCTACCCAGGTGAGTTGAGACTAGGACCACGGGCTGGATAGGAAAGAACTGACTTTTGAGGGTTCACACACACACCAGTCTTAGTTTGCCTTCTATTGCTATGATAAAAACACTCTGACCAAAACCAACTTGGGGAAGAAAGGGATTGTTTAGCTTATGTCTCTTGGATTACAGCTCATCACTGAGGGAGCCCAAGGTAGGAACTCAGGGCAGGAACCTGGAGGCAGGAGCTGGAGCACAGGCCATGGAGGAACGCTGCTTACTGGCTTGTTCCCCTGGCCGGTGCTCAGCTTGCTTTCTTATACAACAGAGGACCACCAGTCCAGGGGTTGCACTGCCCACAGTGGGCTGGGCCCTCCCACATCACTCATCAACCAAGAAAATGCCCCACAGACATGGCCACAGGCCATTTTAATGGAGAAAGTTCCTCAATTGAGGTTCCCTCTACCCAGGTGTGTTGAGTTGACAAAGCTACCCAGCACACACACGTGAAATTTTTTTTTAATTTTGTTTTTATGCATATGGGTGGTTTGCCTGCATGTGTATAACTGCAGCACATGTATACAATGCCTGTGGAGGCCAAAAGAGGACATCAGCTATCTTGGAACTGGAGTTATGCACCGTTAGCTGCCATGTGGGTGCTGGGGACCAAACCCTGATCCTCTGCAAGAACAGCCAGTGATCTTAACTGCTAAGCCATCGCTCCAGACCCAATGTGAAGTAATTTTTTTTTTTTTTTGGTCCTTTTGAGACAGGATCTCCCTGTATTCCCAACTGGCTGGGACTCCCTATCTAGACCAGGCTGGCCTCAAACTCACAGAGGTCCACCTGCCTCGGCCTCCCAAGTGCTCGGATTAAAGGTGTGCCACCACGCCCAGCATGAAATAAATCCTCATAAACCAAGGTGGACAACGTCTGAGAAATGACACCTAAGGATGTCTTCTGACCTCCAAATGTACACATGCATGAGCACGTGCACGTGCACACACACACACACACACACACAAACATGCATGCATGCATGCATACACATAAACCAAATAAAATTGATGATGAAGCTGGGCATGCTGGCACATACCTTTAATCCCAGTACCGGGGAGGCAGAGGCAGGCAGATCTCTGTGAGTTGAGGTCTACGTAGAGAGTTCCAGACCAGCTGGGGCTACATGGAGACTATCTCAAAAAGACCAAAAAATAAAATAAAATAAATAGGCAATGAGATCTCTCAAGATCTTTCAGAGGACAGAGTTTGAAACTCAAGAGACCTAGGGTTTGGGTGGGTGGCTGGGTGATTGGGAACACCCCCAAACACAACAGTGGGAATCTGTAACTAGGGGGTTGACAAGTGTGAAGGGATCCTGGGGGAGGGGCAACAGGAGGCTGTGGAGGTGCAGGATGTCCTCACAAAACCTCCCCACCACCTTCATCCTGTGGTCTCTTCTCTGCTCCCTGAGGTCTCTCCACAAGGGCAGGAAGTGACACCTGAGGGTCCCTTCCTCCACCGGATGCACTGGCACTGCCCACTGTCTGTGATGGCGTACCCCTGGGATGTCACACCTCCAGTGCGGCACTTTCACTTCCCTGAGGGTCCAGCCCCAGTCTCCAGCACATGGGAGCACCTGCTCTAGGACACGGTGGGGACTTAAGGGGAGATGGGCAAAGAGGAAGGGGACAGAGACCCAGAGACAAAGAGGACAGAGTCTGGGGGCGGGTGGGGATACAGGAACCCAGAGAGAGAGAAAGAGACAGACAGACAGAGGACAGAGACTCAGGGGTGGGGACACAGGGACCCAGAGAGAGAGAAAGAAACAGACAAAGAGGACAGAGAACAGAGTGGGGCGGACCCAAGAGAGGGACCCAAAGAAAAGGACAGAGACCCAGAAAGAGAGCCATAGACCTAGAGAGAGAGGACATGGACCCAGAGAAAGAGCATAAGAGAGACCTAAAGAGAGGAGCAGAGAACCAGAGAGAGAGAGAGAGAGAGAGATGCAAAGAGAGGGACAGAGACCTAGAGAGAGGGAGACAGAGACACTGAGAGGGAAATGGGTTCCAGGCAGAGAAGGGCCCACAGGATGCAGGGGACCAGTCAGTGCTGAGGTCAGCAGGTCTGTGACATCAGCCTCCATGCAGGGACAGCCCTGGGGTCCCCTGGACCCAGACGTGGGTAGAGGCCATTCGGAAAACCGTGGACATCCTGCCCGAGCCATGGACACCTGTGAGGAACCGCCCACTGTCTCCTTGATGCCCACCTATTCCAAAGGCCCTCAGGTACTTACTGCTGCACGCCCCGTGGAGTGGGTGAGAAGGCAGGGACCCCGTGGATGGTGCGTGAAGAGGGCCGGTGTCGCCCCGCCCCTGGAACTTCCTCTTTCTTTTTCTGCCTCCTTCCTTTGTGCTTTCTCGGTCCCTCGTCTCCCCACAGCCAACACCTCTTGTTTGGCTTCCTCAAGCTGGTCGCTCCCCCTCCAGGCAAAGATGTCTGCCCAGGAGAGCTGCCTCAGCCTCATCAAGTACTTCCTCTTCGTCTTCAACCTCTTCTTCTTCGTGAGTCTCCTCATGGCTACCCAGCCTAGGTGCCAGGCCTGGTGGTGGCCCGGGGCCTCACCCACAGCCGTGTTCTCTCTCCAACCCCAGGTCCTGGGCGGCCTGATCTTCTGCTTCGGCACATGGATCCTCATCGACAAGACCAGCTTCGTGTCCTTTGTGGGTGAGGGGGGCTGGGCAGGCAGGGAGGTCCTTGCTGAGGTGGACCTGAACCCAGAACCCCACCCTGGGGCACCTTCTGGGATCGCTCTTGCCCCAAGGAAGCCTACAGTTCCCAACTCCCCAGGCAGGAACCAGGCTCTGGCAGACCACTGGCTGCCACTGTGCCTGTGTCTTCCTTGGTAAATAAGGATGTGTGATTTGGGTGTGGTGGTTGCATGCCTGTCATCCCAGCACTGAGGAGGCAGAGGAGGGAGGATCAGGAGATCAAGGTCATCCTCGGCTACACTGTGGGTTGGAGGTCAGGATAGGCTGTGTGAGACCCTGCCTCAGAAACGAAGAACAAAATGGGCTCATACATACAAATAAAAATAAGGCTGGGCATGGTGGCGCACACCTTTAATCTCAGCACTTAGGGGGCAGAGACAGGCGGATCTTTGTGAGTTCAGGACCATCCTGGTCTACATAGTTCCAGGTCAGCTGGGGCTACAGGGACACCCTGTCTCAAAAAGACCAATGATAATAATAATAAATAATAATAATAATGGAGAAATGATAGGTGTTTCTCAAGCACTTCCTGTGTCAAGTCTTGTACTGGGGCTCACAGAACCTCCCTTCTTGAGGCTCAGAGAGGGGAAATCCCTTGCTGGGTGTCACACAGCAAGAACAGGGGGAGTAAAAATAAGTCATCACAAGGAAAACACTGGCCACTCATATTTAGTGTATTTATTTATTTATTTATTTATTTATTTATTTATTTTTGGTCTTTTTGACCCCCCGCCCCACTACCTTTTACCACCTCAGGACTGTCCTTTGTGCCGCTGCAGACCTGGTCCAAGGTCCTCGCCATCTCAGGTGTCCTCACCATGGGCCTGGCCCTCCTGGGTTGTGTGGGGGCCCTGAAGGAGCTGCGCTGTCTTCTAGGCCTGGTGAGCACCAGGTGCCCTCCCCATCCTTAGGACCCTCAAAGATGGTGAAGGAGGGTCACCTCCCTCTCCACTCTGTCCTCAGTATTTCGGAATGCTGCTGCTCCTGTTTGCCACGCAGATAACCCTGGGAATCCTCATCTCCACTCAGCGGGTCCGGGTGAGTTTGCCAACCATGGGGGCTGGGGGAACCAGTAGACAGAGCGGGAAACAAAGGCAGGTGGGCACGGCCACCAGACTACCAACCAGGAAGGTGAGAGACACTGGGCCACACTAAGAGAGAGTCGGAAAGACACGTGGTCGGAGGGACAGGGCACCAGGAGATAGAAAGGGAAAGTTGGCATCTCGGAGCCTCTGGTCCTGGCCAATCAGAGACTGACGAGGAGGATGGCAAGAGCCCAAGAGGCCAAGGCCAGCCTGGACTACATAGTAAAGCCCCACCATCCCAGTGCTCTGGAGGCAGAAGATAGAAGATTGCAAATTTGAGGTTAGCCTGGGCTACATAAGTGAGTTTGAGGCCAGCCTGTATTATGTAGTGACTTACAAGCCACCCTGAGCTACATAATGAGTGTGAGGCCAGCCTAGGCCTCAGGCGTGGTAGTGCACGCCTATAGTCTCAGCACTTGGGAGGCAGAGGCAGGTGGATCTCTGTGAGTTCAAGGCCAGCCTGGTCTACATAGTGAGTTCCAGGACAGCTGCTGGAGACCCTGCTTCAAAAAGACCAAAAATAAATAAATAAATAAACAAATAAATAAAATACAAAACAAACCCCCAAAACACCAAGGAAGTGATTGAGAGCTAAGGACCTCTGAGATTTGGAGTCAAAAGGCACAGCTAGTCATTCAGGGGGATCCCCAAGAGTGAAGCTGTGCCCAGGGACCCTGGGGTAAACATCCTGGCAGGGGCTGGGGCAGTCAGCTGCCACCAGGCCCAGCCTCACCTGCTGCCTCTCAGCTGGAGAGGAAGGTGCAGGAGGTGGTGCTACAGGCTATCCAGAGCTACCGAGAAAACCCGGAGGACACATCGGCTGAGGAGAGCTGGGACTACGTACAGTTCCAGGTGCGTCGCCCCCACAGGCCCAGTCCCTGCCCCCACTTGGGACTATGCACAGTTCCAGGTGGATTGCCCCCACATGCCCAGTCCCTGCCCACACTTGGGACTGTGCACAGACCCCCCACATGCCCAGTCCCTGTACCCCCTCAGGACGTTCATAGTTCCAGGTGCATAGTTCCAGGTGTGTAGACCCCCACATGCCCCAGTCCCTGCACCCACTCGGGTCTGTGCACAATTCCACGTGCCCAGATCCCCACATGCCCAGTCCCTGCACCCACCCGGGTCTGTGCACAGTTCCAGGTGCTCAGACTTCTACATGTCCAGTTCCTGCGCCCACTTGGGTCTGTGCACAGCCCCACGTGCCCGGACAGGACCCCTGAACACCCATCACCCCAGTCCTGGCCGCAAGCGCACACGGCGCGTCCCCAATGTCCCCCTCAGCTTCGCTGTTGTGGCTGGCACTCTCCGTGGGACTGGATCAGCGCGCACGTGCTGAGAGGGAACGAGTCCCAGCCCCGCGTGCCTTGCTCCTGCTACAACTCCACAGCGAGCAACTACTCCACGGTCTTCGACGAGCCCTTCTCCCAGCTGAGCCCGCTGGCGCCGCGCGCCAGTCCCACGCAGAGCTCCGACCCGTGCTCGCTCCCCAGCAGCGCGAACATCTACCGCGAGGTGGGGCCGGGAGCGGACGGGGCTCCGAAGGGACGGGGCTTCTGGGGGGGGTCTCTGGGGCGGGGCCTCTGGGCAGATGAGCGAGAGATGGGCGGGGCCTAAGGGGGTACGGCTTCTCCCAGGAGCCCCTCGAGAAGGGGCGAGGCCTCGAGATGGGCGGGGCCTGGCAGTGGCTTGGCCTCAGGAGGCGGGTGAAGAAGTGGGAGGGGCCTCAGGAGAGACAGGGAAGGAACGGATCAACCGGTGGGCGCGGCTTCTCAGACGAGGGGCCTCGAGGCAGGGGGAGGGGGAAGTGGGCGGGGCCTCAGGCCTAGGGACAAGAAACCTTGACCGCTGGGCGGGGCTTTGCGGAAGAGAGGCCTCCGGCGGGTGTGGAGGAATGGGCGGGGCCTCCGCGGTGAGCGCGGCCACTTACGCAGCAGGAGATGGGCGGAGTCTGAGGGCGGGACCCGCTGCAGTGGGCGGGGCTTTACTGAGGCGGGCCCGATGGACGTGGGCGGGGCCTGCAACAAGGGGAGGGCGCAAAGCCTGAAGGGGACCCTGAAACTTGAGTGGGAGTTCCAGAAGGAGGGTCACCTTTACCGCTTCCCGGCACCTCCAGGGCTGCGCGCAGAGCCTCCGGAAGTGGCTGCACAACAACCTCATCTCCATCGTGGGCATCTGTCTGGGCGTCGGTCTGCTCGAGGTGACTTGGCCCCGCCCCCGAGCGTGACTGGCCCCAGCGTCCCCGCCCCCGCGTGTGATTGGCCCTACTGTAAACGGCCCCGCCTGTCCTCCCGTTGCCCGGGAAACGCACGGCGCCGGGCTCCTGTGACCGGCCGCCCCTTCTCTCTCCCCGCAGGTGAGTGGAATGGTGCTGTGTCTGCAGCTTCAGCGCAAAGCGCTCCGTCGGGAGCCCGCGCTGCAGTTGCCGGGTGCCGAGGGTTCGAGCCCCGCGCCCGCCCAGAGCGTCGACGGCAGCGGGCGGAGCAGCATCCCCTGGGGCAGCCCACCATGGCCCACGTGGGGCGACAAGGCCCCGCTGGGCAGGCTGCCGATGGCGCTGGGGCCCTGGACCTTTGGGGATGCGGAAGAGGAGCTGCCGGAGACCGAGAGCGCGGGCGCAGAGATGGACTGCGGGACCCAGGGGGAGATTACCGCGCCTGCAGAATAAAGGACCCGAGGCTGGCCTCCGAGCGTTCTTCTTTGCAGACTGCCCACCAGCGAGCTGCCCTCTGCATGCCCTCTCCCGGGGGCCTCGGGGCGTCCCGTTTCCTTTCTTCTCCAGGCACCACCCCCCCTCCTCCGTCCCTGACCGCGTCTCCTCTCTCCCCAGCTCGGCTTCATGACGCTCTCGATATTCCTGTGTAGAAACCTGGACCACGTCTACAATCGGCTGGCCGGGTTCCGCTAGGTCCCGGCCTGCCCGGGCCCTGCAGCCCGGAGCCGGAGCCGCGTGCAGCGTGCAGCCCGCACGCCTCCCTGCCGCCCGCACGCTCCCCGCCGCCCAGGAGCCTGGTGTCTCGCGCCTCGCGCCTCATTCCCTGGAAACTCAGGCCATCACCTCCCCCGCGGGCCCGGGGCTTCTGTCCCCAGCTTCCTACACCCCACACACCATCTGTCAGTCTGCCGCTCTCCACATGATCAACCTCAAATAAATCCCCTACGTTTTAGTAAAAATAGCTTTATCCTCTTTAACACTCTGGGGGGGGTAGGGGGCAGCAGGGTGGACCCAGGCTAACTTGGAATGGGGAGATTAGAAGGCCTCCCCCCACTGCCTGCCTAGGGGAAAGATCAAGTCACGACCCTAACACCATGTATAAATATCTCCTTATATTAAAAAAAATATTTCCAGGGCCCACCCAGCTCTACCCCTGCTCGAAAACGGTTAATCTTCAGTTTGTGACATCACAGATCACAGGAGTAGAGGGTGGGGGGGAGAGGCAGATATGGAGGACAGCTGGAAAACAGGAAAGGGACAGGCGATGTGTAACCAAGGCCACCCCCACTACCCCTGGGCCCCCATCCAGAAGAGCAGGGAGAAGTCCGGTGAAAAGCCAGTGCTGTACCTGGGGGGTGGGCACTCCTGTCCCCAACCCCTGCTGCTGCTGCTGGGGTCATGAATCCAGTGGCACACCCCTGTGAGGGCCCAGGACTGGGAATGTAACCTCAAATTCACCCACTCAGCTCAACAACCAGATTCGGGGGTTCCCTTATAGCCAGCCCCTATAACTCTGAGGTCAGCCCTTTTTATCACAGCCCCTCCCTGAAAGAGGGGTCAGGGAAGGGCTTGAAGGGTCTTTCCTGGGAGGAGGGTGTTCTGGGGTAAACCAGCCATGAGGCTCCATCAGTCCCTGACCAGGCGGTAGATATGGTGCTGGGCCCCACGCTCGCTGGTAGAGACCTCGAAGACATAAGCAGTACACAGCAGCAGTTCCTGGGTGTCCCTGTTTGTCACCACCTGCCAGACCAGGAGAATGGGCTTAAGCTGGAGGGAGAGGAGCAGGGCGGCTGTGTGCATCTCAGGGCTGTCAAGGAAACCTCCTGCCTCCTCCCACCTCCCAGAAGGGCCTTGCTCCATGCAGTATATATCACCCATGTAGAAGGAATGAATGCCCAGGTTTTCTGGGCAAGGAGGTCACCTCTAAGGTAAGTGAGGGTGAACAGAGGGGCCTCAACAGAGCACTGTGTCTGAGGTCAATGGGTCCCCAACACATCCACCAAGCCACAGGCAAAAGGATCAGCAGGCCTGCTACCCCAAGCACTTGCCCCAAATTAATGGAATCTCTTTCACCCTCAACTGAGTCAAGCTAGATGCCTGGGAGCTAAGGATCTCCCTTGAAGGGGAGGTAGGACCTTCCACATGGGATGGCTGAGTCCCCCTCTCATCCTGACCTGGGGAAAGGTGATCCCCTGGTTGACACAGCCTGGGCCAAGGGCTGCCCTGGAACCCCAGGACTAAGGGTCTGGGCACTTCCTGCCACCCAGAGCATCACCTGTAGGATGGTGAAGTTCTCCAGGACACTGTTCATCATGTAGCGCTCAGGCAGCTGTCGAAGCTTATGCAGGAAGTTCACCAGGTACTCACACATGGGCGAGCGCAGCAGGCGGTACACAAAGCGCCCGTCCTCCAGCTGGGCCCGCTCAGTCTAGGAGTAGGGGGGGCACAGTGACTGAGACACATGGGCCACCCCAGGAACCAAGCTCTACCACTGGCTTCTGACAGCCAGTGTCCCCCTCGGAGGACCCTACCTTCTGAGACCAGAGATGGATCCCAGAGCCCTCGAATTTTCAACCTGGACCTCTGAACCCCCAAACCAGGAACCCTTCCATTTCCTCAAAGGCCTCCCAACCCTCCAAACACCCTGGATAACATCTCCAAGCTCGGATCCCAGAGCCCTCGAATTTTCAACCTGGACCTCTGAACCCCCAAATCAGGAAGCCTTCCATTTCCTCAAAGGCCTCCTAACCCTCCAAACACCCTGGATAACATCTCCAAGCTCAACGTGAAATACCTCAAGTCTTCTTTAAGGACCCTTAAGTGTAACTTCTCATCCCAAACTCTCCACATCGTTAAGATCCTTTTTCATCTTGGAGACTAAATCCCTACACCTTGAAATGAGCCTTCACTGTGACCTTTCGTGGTTGTGTTTTAAGACAACTGGCCTCCCAACTCCTCATGTAGATGAGAATAGACTTGAAACTCCGAATCCTCCTGCTTCCACCTCTCGAGTGCTGGGATGATGACCGGTGCACCACCACGCCTGGTTTACGCAGTGCTGGGCAGGAACGCCACTAAGTAAGTTTACACCCCCAGCCCTCTTCTGAACTGTTTGGTCCTAACCCGTGCACTGAACAGCTGGCACGCCCCACCGTACACCCCCACATGCCTGTACCCTCTGGCTCCTGGTGCATGCCACACCCTAGCCGCCCCCTACCCCAACCTCACCTCCACCTTCTCCACCACTTGCTTGCCGAAGGAGCAGACTTTGGAGGAGCAGGTGAGCGTCATGAGCTCCCGGCTCTCGTACTGGCTGCTCACGCCATAGAAGCCACCACTGCTGCCACTCCCGGCCTCCTCACCACTTGGGCCCCAGTTCAGGTCCGCCTGAGAGACCGAGGGCAGAGGTGAGTTGAGGGGAAACAGATTCTGCCCCACAGCCTGGCTCCCCTACTGCATCCAGTTGCCCCCACCAGCTCAGCTCCAAAGTCTCCACATTGACGTTGGCTACTTTTCAGAAGACCTGTGAGGGCTGGAGAAGTTGGGGTCCCCAGAACAGTCTTGAAAAGAGGGGGCTGCTGGAGAGATGGCTCAGCAGTTAAGAACACTGGACCTGGGTTCGATTCCTAGCACCCACACGGAAGCTAACAATTGTCTGTAACTCCAGTTCCAGGGGATCTGATGCCATCTTCCAACTCCGTGGGCATTGCATGACACTTACATACATACAGACAATACACTCATACACATAAAATAATAAATAAAAGAAAAAGGGCTGTGGCTAAGCTGTAGAGCACCTGCCTAGATTCCACCAGGGCCGGGCTGGGGGTGTGGCTCCACTGCAAACTTCCTCCTCCAGGAAGAGGAGGGAAAAAAAGACCAGCCCCCTTCCTGGTTGCTAAACTAGCAGAAATGCCTAGCAAACATTTGAGGTCCAATATCCTTCCCCAAACCTTTCACCACTCTGGCTGCAAAGCACGTGGTGCCTCCACACAAGCAACAGAACCAGACTGCTCCCCAGCCTCTCCCTTCCCACCCTCGTGTGTCCCCCAAATATCAGAAGTGGGCTTCACGAACCATAATGATGTCCTTGAGAGGCAGACATCACCCATTTTCTGTCCTGACTGTAGCTGCAATGTTTTTTGCCAGAACGCCCCCTTCAGAGGCCTAACCCCACCCACCACCCCAGAAACTGGGCACTTTGATGCAAGAAAAATCACTAGGCCTGTGGGTGTGGTGGCTCAGAACTAGAATCCCAGCACGGGAGGCTGTGGCAGAAAGGTTGAGTGGGTGTTTGAGCTCAGCCCTGGCTGTGGAGGGAGACCCTGACTCAACAGGAAAGCTTCACCAGCCCCACCCTTGGGAGCTGAGCTTGCCAAGGGAGCTGGTGACAGTGAAACTTACAGTTGCCAGTCGGCAGTAGCACACCCAGAGCCATCTCAGAATTCGACTCCCTGATCACAAAGCTAGGGTGGGGGAGGGGGTTCGTTATTGTTGTAAATTCAGTTTGGTTTGGTTTGAGTCATTAACATAGGCTGTCCTTGTCCTTGAACTCTCAATTCTCCTGCCTCAGCCTCTGGTATTTTTTTAACAACTTGACAGAAACTAGAGTGTCAGGGAAGAGGGAACCTCTGCTGAGGAATTTCCTCCATCAGGTTAGCCTGGGGCTGTGTCTGTTTCTTGATGGCTGACTGATTTATGAGGGCTCAGCCCACTGTGGGTGGTGCCATCTCCACCTAGCATGAGAGGGCCTGACTTCCCTCACTGATGGATTGTGATCTGGGTATTGCAAGATGAAATAAACCCTTTCCTCTCCAAGTTGTTTTTAAGTCAGCAGTTTTGGGGAGGAGGGGTTGGGTTTTTTTGGTCTTTTTGAGACAGGGTCTCCCTGTAGCCCCAGCTGGCCTGGAACTCCCTATGTAGACCAGGCCGGCCTCCTCTGCCTCCCGAGTGCTGGGATTAAAGGTACGCGCCACCACGCCCAGCTATTTTGATTTTATTTGTATGAGTATTTTGCCTACTAGTTGAGGTTTGCAAGTGCACAATGCCCAAGCAGGCCAACAGAGGGGATTGGATCCCCTGCAACTGGAGTTACATACCATTGTTGGCCACCATGTAGGTGCTGGAAACTGAACCTGGATCCTCTGTAGAGCAGTCAGCGCACTTAACCTCTGAGCCATCTCTCCAGCACTTAATTTTTTTTTTTTTTTTTTTTTTTGAGGCAGAAAAGTCTTTTGTCTTTTTGAGACAGGGTCTTCTTGTAGCCCCAGCTGTCCTGGAACTCACTATGTAGACCAGGCTGGCCTTGAACTCACAGAGATCCGCCTGCCTCTGCCTCTGCTCCCAAGTGCTAGGACTACAGGCGTGTGCCACAACCACGCCCAGCTCCAGCCCTTAATTTTTAAAAAGAGGCTGAAGAACTCTCTCAGTGAGTCCTTGATGCTCTGGCAAAGGACTCAGGTTTGGTTCCAAGCACACACATCACATGGTAGCTAACAACTGCCTGCAACTCCAGTTCCTGAGGATCTGATGCTCTCCCTCTGGCATTGCATACACATGGTGCACATATATACATGCAGGCAAACACTCATACACATCAAAATACAATTTTTAAAATTAAAAATAAAAAAGGCTGGAGATGGCTCACTGGTTAAGAGTGCTTGCTACTCTAGCAGAGGATCCAAGTTGGGTTCCCAGCACCCACATCTGGCAGCTCACACTTCCTTGTAACTCCAGCTCCTGGGAATCTGACGCTCTCTTCTGGACTCCATGAGTACTGCACATACCCACACTCGACACATACATACACATGTAATTAAGAAAATGTTTAGAGGCTGGAAAGGTGGCTCAGAGTTTAAGAGCACTGGCTGTTCTTGCAGAAGATACAGGTTTGGTCCCCAGCACCCATACGGCAACTAACAACGGTCCATAATTCCAGTTCAAGGAGAATTCGATACTCTCTTCTGTCCTCTGCAGGCACTGCACATACTGGGTTCACTTACATATGTGCAGACAATATACACATAAAAATAAAAATATAAAAAAAAGTTTAGGGGCTAGAGAGATGGCTAACTGGCTGCTCTTACAGAGGACCTGGGCTTGATTCCCAGCATCTATATAGCATCTAACAACCATCCATAACTCCAGTTCCAGGGGATCCAACACCCTCTTTTGGACGCCTCAGGCACCGCACACATGCAGGCAAAACATTCATACATATAGAATAAAATAAATCTGTTAGATCTTAAATAAAAATAAATCTTTTTTAAAAAAAATAAATCACCTTCAAGTGACGTGCCTCACATGTTCAGGAAGTGAAAGCTGGGTAACAGTCCCTCAACAACCTTCCATGCCATGTGACTGGATGTGGGAAGGCTGCTGGGATCTGAAGAGATCCACCTGCTTTCACATCCAGCCCTGGGGGACTCCTAAGGTTTCTTCTAAAAACATGGCTGGTGCCAGGAACCCCCCACCCCTACCCCTTCAGCCCAGGCAGCCCCCAGAGCCACCCACAGCACCTGGCTGAAGACCCATAACCTGGAAGCACTCACCCAAAACTTGACCAGGAAGAAGGCATGGGGCGGCCCTCGGTCATAAAGCTCCCGCAGGCCCCCCTTTTTCTCAGGGAATTTGTCGTAGATCTGCCGCACATCCACGCTCTCCAGAGGTGGCGCTCCGGGGCTGGGACACGGCTGGCTGATGTGGACAAACAGGTGCCTCTGGAACTGCAGGGGGCCAACAGGGTGAGGGGATGTGAGCTGGACCCCAACCTCACCCAATGGCCTTATCCCCCACCCCCGACCCCACCCCCGCCTGAAGCAGCCATCTCCAACAAGTCATGCAACACACTAGTTAGAACACAGCCACACTCCAAGCCGTATCCAGCTCCGTGGTCCCCAGCAATCCGCCTATCCCTTCACTCCCCAAGGCGCCAGCCTGCTGTCTGTAGCCTATGATGGTTACTATACCTCAAGACGACTTTTTCTTTTCTTTTCTTTTTTTTTTTTTTCTTTCTGAGAGACAGGGTATCATGTATATACCCTGCTGGCCTCAAACTCCCTATGTAGTAAAGGGTGACTGTGAGCTCCTGATCCTCCCGCTTCCACCTCCAAGTGTTGAGATGACAGGTGTGCACCACCACACCCAGTTTATGCAGGGCTGGTGATGGAACCCCATGCAAGCTTGCACTCTACCAACAGCGCTCCATCCCCAGCCCTTATGCTGGCTTTTGAACTAAAGGCAATCCTCCTGACTCGGCCTCCAACGCCAGTTTCCAACTGGGTGCTAAGATTATAGGAGTCAGCCTCCACGCCAGTTTCCAACGTGTCACCAGCATTACCCTTTTCAGTAAAGTGAATAACCTGATAGCATTTACATGGTGTCTCAGAAACTCTGTTCGCCCACTGGCCGCCCCTACACAGTATGGAACTACATTTCCCAGGTGCCTCTGCAGTTAGGTGTGAGCACATGACTTTGGCCTGACCAATAGGGTGTGAGCAGACCTGAGCTTACTCATCCAAGCAAGACCCATAAAACCTGAGCAAAGCAATCCTGCTTTCGCCCTTCCTCCACCTGCTGGCTAGATGCAGACAATCCAACAGTTCCTGTAATCCTAGAAAATGGCAGAGCCACAAAATGGAACCTCCCCGTCCGTCCCCCCAAACACTCTGAGATTCGACAGGAGGAGCTCCCCCAGGCCGCCCTGCTCAGGGAATTTGTCCTAGATACGCCGCACATCTACTGTGATACAAGCCTGTGATCCCAGCCCTGGGGAGAATGAGGCAGGATTACCGGAAGTTCAAGGCCAGCCTGGGCTAAGGTGAGACCATCTCAACAAACACACAAATAAGTAAAACAGAAAAAATAGGGGTCCGAGAGATGGTTCAGAGGTTAAGGGTACTGGGGCTGCAGAGGACCCAGGTTCAGTTCCCAGCACCCACACAGCAGCTAAAAACTGTAACTCCAGTTCCAGAGGATCGGACACCTTCTTCTGACCTCTGTAGGCATTGCATAAGTTCAGGCAAAATATTTGCACACATAAATTGGAAATATTTTTTTTTAAAAAAGAAGAAATATGGGGGCAGAAGAGATAGCTCAGCAGTTAAGAACACTGGTTGTTCTTGCAGAAGACCCGGGTTCGAATCCCAGCACCCACATGGCAGCTAACAACTGTCTGTAACTCCAGTTCCAGGGGATCTGATAGCCTCTTCTGTCTTCCACGGCCATTGCACGACACAGGTGCACTTACCTACATGCAGGCCATACACGCATACACATAAAATAAAAATAATAGCCGGGCATGGTGGTGCACACCATTAATCCCAGCACTTGGGAGGCAGAGGCAGGCGGATCTCTGTGAGTTCAAGGCCAGCCTGGTCTACACAGTGAGTTCCAGGACAGCTGGGGCTACAGGAGACCCTGTCTCAAAAAGACTAAAAATAAATAAATATAAAAATAAATATTAAAAAAAAAAAGAAGAAGAAATACAGAAATACGGCTCTTTCCCAGGTCCTGGGCATGTATCACAAGTCCTATCAAACAGCAGGTACTTCAACATGTTTGATGAATGAATAAATGATCAATTTCCCATGAGCTTCTTCCAGCTTCTTCAAAGTGTGGTCCCCAGGACAGCTACATCAACATCACTCGGAGATCCCTAGACAGGCTGCCTCACAGGTGCCTGTCACCTACTGAATCAGAAATCCGTGGACAGGGAAAATGGCTCAGTCAGTAAAACGTGTGCATGAGGGCCTGAGTTCAGTGCCCAGCACCCATATGCTGGGTGTGGAGGCAAGGATGTAAGATCCAGAACTGTGAGGGGCAACAACAGGTGGATGGATCCCTGGGGCTCGCTGGTCAGCTACCATGGGCTGGCTACTTGGTGAGGTCCAGGCACTCGGGAGGCAGAGGCAGAGGCAGGAGGATCTCTGAGTTTGAGGCCAGCCTAGTCTACTTATAGAGTTCCAGGCCAACCAGGGTTACACAGAGGAACACCACCAGACGTTAACCTCTAACCTCCACACATAAACAAACAGGAAGAATCCTGTACAGAGGGTCCAAGCAGGCTATGTGAACAAGCCCTCGGGGTGACTCTACTGAGGGTGCAGCTCCTCTGTTCCCTAAAAGAATCCCTCCTTCCTGTGCTCCAGCATTGCCCAGTGACTGCCCCAGGCTTCACTCACAGAATCAACTGCATCCGGTGGTTCCACAAATGCAGAGAACTCCACCAGCTGCAGACGCGCGGTCCCCAGGGCCCGAGCCTGCCAGGCTGGGGGAGATGGGGCAGGTGGGGGCAGGGGTGAGAGGTCTGGGGGCGGCTCATACCCTAGAGAGAGGAAAAAAAACTGCTGTCTCAGGGTTGGAGAGAGGGCTCAGAGCTTAAGAGTGCTCCCTCTTCCTGAAGAGGACCTGAGTTTGATTCCCGGCACCCATATCAGGAGTCTCACAACTGCCTGTAACTTCAGCTGCAGGGCTCTTACACCCTCTTCTGGCCTCTGAGGACACTACACCCACTCCTGCCTATAATCACAATAAGACACACACATGCACATAAATCAAAGTATTTTCACAAGACCCAGGCCAACTCAATCAGACCCAGCATCGAACTGGGAAAATGGGCAGCAGCCCCAAGCTTAGTTGAAGAACTATAGGCAACTGATTACTGCTGAGTGAGGGAGAACAGATCTTCTTTAAGGGAGTGACTCTAGTTAGGCTGACTAGAGTTGAGTGGATGAACTTGCACCAAGGGCCATCTGGGTACAAATGTTTGACCAGATAAGACTTAACATATATGATAGAATGCATGAAATCCAGTGGGGAGGGGCTTTATGGGGGGTGTGGATGGGGAGGGGGGGTCTAAATTTGATTCAGATCTATTATATGAAATGCACAAAACTTAAAAAATATTTGAAAAAATAAAGATTCAAATTCTTAAAACAAAATGGGAATAAATAAAACTCAAAAAAAAAAAAAAAAAACCCCCCCCCAAAACAAGAATTTTAGGAAACAAAACAAGCCAGGCATGGTGGCACACACCCTTAGTCCCAATACTCAGGAGGCAGAAGCAGGCAGCTCTCTGTGAGTTCGAGGCCAGCCTGGTCTACAGAGCGAGTTCTAGGCCAGCTGGGGCTACAGGGTGGCCTGTCTCAAAAAGACCCACACATAAAACAAAAATAATAAATAATAAATATTCTTTAAAAAGTTAGGGATACTAGTCAGTGTGAGTATTCAGGGTCACATAGGTGTGGAATTCTGGTGGAGTCTGTGGAACGAAGCCACCTAGGAGTGAGGTAAATGGAAGTCCTGATGATGCCCTTTGAGCTCCTAGATCCAGCCTTGCCAGCAGCCATCAGTCTGTTATCGACATCTTTGTCTTGTCTTCCCCCCTCCTCTTCCTCCTCTCTCTAACTCTTCTTCCCTCTCCCCCCCTCACTTCTTCCGCTCCTCCTCCTCCTGCTCTCCCTCCTCCTGTTCCAGCTAACTTGATCTGGGTTTCTGCTACTTGGAGCTGAAAAGAATCTTGACTAATCCACTTTTCCCCAAGGTCTCAGGGCAGCCAGTGGCAAAATGCAGTCCCACAGTGCCTGGCCGCAGGAGTGGTGGGCTTACACAGTACTGTTCCACATATTCTGCCCTGACACACCCTGCCTGCCTCAGTGGGTGCCCCCAGTGGGAGCCTGAAGGAGTGTTACCCGGGGAGAGGAGGAAGCTGGGGGACAGGCTCTTACCTGGTAGGTCAGTGGACGGGGGGGTCAGTGACAAGGAGAATGATGTCTGTGAGAATGGCTTCACGCTACGGGACAAAGGAAAACCAGTGAACACAGCAGAGCAACGCCAACTGTAGCAGCGGATGTTGAACTGGAACCACAAAAAGCCAGGATCCCCCCCTCAAGCCAACATGTTCTGTACGTGACCATGAGGTAGGTGTGAGATTGAGGCACATGTCAGCTGAGGTGCTGCAGAGCTGACTCCAACCAAGTCAGCCCAACCATGAGGACCAGGATTTCTGCTGTTTGGCAATACTAGTAAAGGAACCTAGTGCTTCAAGCAAGCTAGGCTTGTGCTCCACTGAGTCACACCCCAGCCCCTCACTGGGGGATTCTAGGCAGGAGCTCTACCACTGAACTGCCCAGGCTGGCCTTGAGTTCCAGATCCTTCTGCTTCAGCCTCCCAAGTGCTGAATCACAAGCCTGAGCCACTCACCTGCTCTATGTGATAGAAACGTTCAGTCCAAAGTAGTGGTCATTGACCACATTGCCACTCAGCACTAGTGTTACTAACATGCCTCAGAGACTGAACTTTTTATGTAAATTTAATTCTAATTTAACTAGGCATGTGCAACTAATATGGCTATAGACTCTGACACACTCCTGCGACCTAGAGGTCTCCCAAGAGATGGTGGTGAGGCCAGGGGTGATGTGGTTAGAGGTCAGATGCCGTCAAGGGTTGATAGACAAAGATGAGAAAGACAAACCCCAGGGAACTTCAGGTCTGAGTCCCAGGGCTTGGCTGTCCTCTTCTCTGCACTGTAATATTCCTCACACTGACGTGAGACCTATTGGCACTGGGCCATCACTCAAATGCCACCTCTGTAGAAAGGCCACCTGAACACTGAAAACAGAGCTCTTGCCTGGCTAGACAGTACACACTTGCAATCCCAGCACCCAGGAGGCTGAGACAGGAGGATCATAGGTTTGAGCTCAGCCTGGGCTACAGAGCTGAAAGCCTGTCTCAAGCGAACAAAAGTAAATGCAAATCCTCAGGGTTCGAGATGGAGCCCAGGGGTACAACACTTACCTAGAACATGAGAGACCCTGGGTTGAATACAATTCCTTGCATGTATTCATTCTTCTTATGTTTATGGTTACAGCGAGTCCCCTTCCTCCCGTGTCTATGGAGCCCCATGAAGACTGTGGTTGGGCTAACAAGATGGCTCAGTGGGTAAAGGGGCTTCCCAGCCAAGCTTAGTGACATGAGTTCAACACCCCGCCCCCCCAAACCCACATAGTAGGAGAGAATGGACTCCTGAAAGTTGTTCTCTGACCTCCACACACATGTACACACACAATAAATGTATGGAAAAAAAAAACACTGTGGCTGTGTAATTTTGTCCCCTACTAAGCACAGTCCCAGTCACTCAGTATGTATTCAATATCTGGTGTCCAGCTGCTCAATACAGGCCACCTGTCATTTTACAGGCTCACCACAATTTCCTATCTACAGGCCTTGCACCTGCTGTTTGTAGAGAAGAGCCCCATCAGCTAAATCCCATCAGTCTCAGAGAAACTCCCAGAACTTTCTCCTTTACCAGAAAACCCACTGTGGCTCCTCACTGCAGTGCACACACACCCACTTCGTGTTCCTGCAAGTGGTGGCTTCATCAGCCCCAGCCCCCACCATTTGACTATGAGATCCCCAGAACCCAGCCTTTCCTCCTCTGCAGCACACCTGGGGTCCCCCAGCCCCTGGGGACCTGCTCTGACCTTTCCCCATCCCTGGTAACAACACTGGTAATATCCACCCTCTCCTGTCGTCCTCTCATGGCCACACTACCCTACCATCTAACTAGCAGCCTGGCTCGGCTGTCCCTCTAGGGGCTAAAAAAAAGATTCCCATGAACCCCTGAGGGTCTTTTCCATGCCGGTGAGCTGCTAACACATCCTGATTCCCTCTGTGCTCTGGGCCTCAGAGGTGAGGCCGCTCCAGGTACCCCTAGAACTTGGTTCTCCTCCCCAAGTCTGAGAAGAAAGCAACCCTCACTCCACTCTCAAAGCCCAGAACCACTTCGGGACCCCAAAATGAACCTTCCCATGGGCCTCTAGGGCCCTTCTATCCCTCCCAGAAGCCTCTGGGTTTACAACCGCCTTCCCATGATCCTCTGAGACCCACTCATCCCTCCCAGAAGTCTGTAGGTCTATTACTGCTTTCCCATGAGCCTCTGGGCCCTACTTATCTGTCCCTGGGCTTTAAACCAAATGGTACTTTGGGGTCCCTCATCCCTCCTAGGAGCCTCTGGTCCTTGCAACTTCCGATGGACACCTCCCACCCCTCCAAGAAGCATCTGTATCCATAACTGGCTTCCCACAAGCCTTTATGTCTTTCCTTTCTTCCAGGGACCTCTGGGTCTACAATGACCTTCCTATGATCTTCTGGGTCTCCCTTACACCTGCCAGGAGCTTCTGGTCCTACAAGTCTTCCCATGATCCTCTAGGACCCATTCATCTTTCCCAGGATAACTTGGCCCTACAACTGCCCTCTTTCCCATGATCCTTTGAGGCTCCATGTCTCTACTAGGAACCTCTTTGGCCCTTCCTACTGCCCTCTCATGATTCTTTGGGGCCTTCTTCATCTGTACCAAGAGCCTCTAGGACTAACAATGTGCCTTCCCATGACACTTTGGGGTCCCCGAATTCCTCCCAGGAGGCTTTGGGCCTTATAACTGCCTTCCCAAGAGTCTCTGGGGCTGACACTCTCACTTAGAAGTCCCACGTACAGACTGCAGGCCTTTCCCATCATTAGGTTCCAGGCTGAGCTCATTTTGCCCAAACCTGCTTCTTCCCCAGGCCATACATCTTGGGATAGCTCCAAGACACAGGTCAGACCACAGGCACTATTCTTGGTACTTCCCAATCTGAAGGGCCCTCCTACTCCTCCTCCCACTCCTCTACCTCTTCCAGTCCTTCCTCCTCCTCTCCCCTCCTCCCCTCCCCTTGCCTTATCTTCCCCCTCCACCTTTGCCAACCCTTCCCCTCCTCCCCTCAACTGTCCCAGTGCAGCCTTAGTCCTGAGTGCACTTGGGGTCAGGTCCCACGCCAATAATAGCCAGTGTTAAATGTATCTGCTCCCACAACACTGGAAGTCTACAACACCCCATATCAAGCATAAGAAAAGGGCTCTGAGCACTGTGGTCACCCCCAAAGACTATAGCCAGCGAAGGGTGAGGCCAGGCTTCAAACCCATACAGCCTGGCTCCAGAATCAGGATGCAGAAGGTGGGTCAGAAAGGCAGGTGCAGGGACCCAAGGTACTCACTCTGGAACATTCCATGGTGGTCCAGTACCCCCTGACCAAAACTGGAAAAGCTCAGTAGCCTAGAGCAGAGACAAATGAGGATCGGTTGGACGCGTTGGCCACTACAGCCCCATCCTTCCACCCAGGCCCTGACCCTGGTCACCTGAGGACCGGAAGGGCCCAGCTTGGCCTGGAGGGAAGGTGCAGAGATGAGCTGGGCTGATGACATGGTAGCCATGGTCTGGAAGGCCTTGTCCTTGGAGACCTGGTCCTAGGGGGTTGAAGTCCAGGTGACTGGGGAGTCCCACCCAAGACACAGGGTCAGGGAGGGGTCAGTTCCCCACTGGCATGCTCTGCCCTGGCTGTTGTCAAAAAGGGCATCGTGTGAGGTAGAAGGGTGTTAAGATGTGCAAGGGGCGGGGGGGACTGGAGAGATGGCTCAGCGGTTAAGAACGCTGGTCTTGCAGAAGACCCAGGTTCGAATCCCAGCACCCACATGGCAGCTAACAACTGTCCAGTTCCAAGGGATCCAACAGCCTCTTCTGTCCTCCACGGGCATTGCACAACACGGGTGCACTTACCTACATGCAGGCATAACACTCATACACATAAAATGAAAATATAAATAAAACATTAAAAAATAAAACCCACTAAGGAGGATTTTTCTAGGTTAAGAAGGAGCTGGAATTTTAGGTTCCAAGGATACCCAGGCGACAGGAAGTGAGAGTTTCACTCTCCCGGCCAGGGAGCAGGAAAGCCCTGGAAAAGGATGTTTCATATTCCAGACAGAACACACAGGGAACTGAGAAAATACAGAAAAGACCAGAAGTAGAGGGATTTAGACCTACAGAAAAAGGAAGGGAAGGTTTCCGAGTACAAAAGAACAGGAAGTAACAGTTCCTGGGGCTAAAAGATCACACACAGAGGGAAAGAGACAGGGTCTGGAGGATGCAGGGGACTCACTAGTCAAGAATACTTGGACCCTGTGCTGCAGGCCTCCCCCCTCAGGTTGTGTCTGTCTTTGTCTGTCTGTCTCTGTCCATCATTCTCTCTGGGTCTCTGCTTCCACCAGGTCTCTGTCTCTCTGGATCTGTCCCTCTCTCTCTCTGGGTCTCCGTCCCCCCACATCCCACCCCACTTCTCTGCCCTTCTATGTGTGTGCCTTCCTCTGTCATTACCTTCAGCTTGGACTGAATTTCTCTTGATTTCCTTCGAGCCAAAACCTGGATGTGACTAGAGACCTGGAAGGAGAGGCAGATCAGGCCCTGCCTCCTGCCCCTCACACACACACACACACACACACACACACACACACACACACACACACACACACACACAAACAGCTACTCCACAAACTATGTCTCACAGATGATAAATCCCAAGTCCTGAGGCTGTCTGCAGGATCGCAGGGTGCAGCCTGGACCCGGGGCCAAGCCCCGTCCCATCCTCCACTTTCCATCTCTCTCTGAGCCCCTCTTTCTAAGAAACCTGCTACGGAAAATTCAGGGCTGGGAGAGATGGCTCAGTGGGTCAAGGTGCTAGCCATTAAGCCCGACAACCCAAGTTCCAACCCCAGGACACACGTGGTAGAAGGAGAAAACACACTCCTGAGGAATGTCCTGCACTTGGGACAGGGCAGCAACAAAAGCAAGTCTGGTCAAATCAGAGCCCCTGAGCCAGTGAGACCCAGGGAGGTGAGATGGACCCCCGAGCCTGAGTGGCACCTGCAGTCATCCTTTGACCTCCCCATCTCATGCACACACACACCTGCATGCACAGACGCACACAGAGACTTGTTTTTGGTAAACTCTGAACCAGCCCACAAGAGGAGGGCTGTCAGGAAACGCCCCACCCCAGAACTAGGCCAGAAAGTCAGTCCGGAGACCTGTTTGCGAGTCCTGGTCTTTCCTGTCCTCAACTTGATATACCGGGCAATGAGTTCATTCCGACCTGGAGGAGTCAAATTGGAAGAGTAAGACTGATCCGCAGAACTTCCTGACATGAGCCCTGTGTCACTCATCCACTGCAGTCACCTCACCCGTGAGGCCCAAATCCAAGCTCAACCATGTTCCAGCTATTTGTAGACCACTCAATTACCCTGTGCCTCAGTTTCCCTCACCTGTCTCCCCCACCTTTTATTATTTACTTTGTTGGGGTTGTGTGTATGTGTGTGTGTGTGTGTGTGTGTGTGTGTGTGTGTGTGTGTGTTTGAGACAGGGTCTCCCTGCAGCCCCAGCTGGCCTGGAACTTGCTATGTAGACCAGGCTGGCCTTGAACTCACAGAGGTCCGCCTGCTTCTGCTGGGATTAGAGGTGTGTGCCACCACGCCTGGCTATTTGCTTATTTTGAAACAGAGTCAAGTAGGTTAGGCTGGCCTAGAACTAAGTAGCTAAGTATGACCTTGAACTCCTGATCCAGGAGCGTGCCACAACACCCCTCATAAGGTGCCTTCGCAGGTCTGGACATACTAGTTAGTGTTTGTGGCTCACTGGGTTCAGGACAGAAACCAACGTACTCACCATACATCTTGCCCTCGTCCGACAGGATGATTTTTCGGCGGCCACATGGCGGGTAGATGGCCAGAGCCTCCTGGAAGCTCTGCTCGATGTCCGGGCTCCACACACCCTCCGCATCGGGGCCCCCATCACCTCCTACACCCTCACTGCCACCTGTGCCCTCCTCGCTGCCTTCCTCACTGCCAGTCCAGCCACCGCCATCATCCAGGGGGGCCCCAGCCCGGGGTTCCCCCATCTGGGCCTGCAGGGACAAAGACTAGCTACACACACGGAGAGGAGGGAAAGGGAGGGGCCTCGGCTGAGGGAAGAGAGCTAGGGAGGACCATGGGTCTGATGGAGGAGGGTTGAGGTCAGGACCCCTGGGTCTGACGGAGGAGGGCTAGGGAGAACCCCTGGGTCTGAGGGAGGAGGGCTAGGGAGGACCCCTGGGTCTGAGGGAGGAGGATCGAGGTCAGGACCCCTGGGTCTGAGGGAGGAGGGCTAGGGAGGACCCTGGGTCTGAGGGAGGATTGAGGTCAGGACCCCTGGGTCTGAGGGAGGAGGGTTGAGGTCAGGACCCCTGGGTCTGAGGGAGGAGGGCTGGGGAGGACTCCTGGGTCTGAGGGAGGAGGGCTAGGGAGGACCCTGGGTCTGAGGGAGGAGGGCTAGGGAGGACCCCTGGGAATGAAGGAAGAGGGCTGGAGTCCTGGTCTTTCAGGATGAACTGGATTCTGGGAAGGGGAGGGCTGTCTTCTGGTAAGCTTCCTTCCGTAAGGATGGCAGTCACTTGACCACCCCAGGGCATGGCCTGAGGCCATGCAGACTACAGCTGTGCTGACCTCTGGTCTAGTGAAGACCAGATTTGATTAGCTGCAGAGTGGGTGAGACTTTCCAGTTCAGAGACAGGCGCTGAGATGGGGCTGGAGCTGCTGGAAAAGGAGCTGCAGAGGGGGCACAGGAGGGGGGACAGAGAGACAGAGGGGGGCCAGAGACCCAGAAAGAGGGGGATGGGGGGGACACGGATAGGGTCCCAGAGAGATGGAGAGGAAGAGACAGAGACCCGGGGAGGGGGGAAAACAGGGTATGGACCTAGTCCCAGAGAGGGACAGAGACCCAAAGGAAGAGACAGACTCAGAGAAAGAGAGACCCAGAGAGAGAGAGAGATGGAGAGCAAGGAAGAGAGACCCAGGGGTGGGGGGTTGGGGGGAAAGACCCACAGAGACCCGGGGAGGGGGCGCAATCAGGGTTTGGGGGACAGACCAGAAAGTGACCACAGAAGCAATCGAGGGGGGCTGGGCGCCCACAATCTCAGGCTGAGGGACAGGGTGGCCCAGCCATCTGGAGGCCAGAACAAAGGGCCCAGGCGTCCCCTCCCCCAGTTTCCCACAACCCCCACCATGGGCGGGGCCTTCCGTCCAGCCGCCCCTCTGGCCCCGCCCCCGCCCCCTCCCCCTGGGCTTAGCTCCAACCCAAGTTCCCAGTGACTTTCCGGAGGCCGGGAACAGGGAAAAACTTTTCCAATACAACGGGATCCCGCCTCCCAGGAGGCTCCATGTCTTTCCAGAATTTTCCCAGGACCCCCAAGCCCTGGATCCCCGAAACCCCTTTTCTTCTGGACTCACGACCAAGGGGAAGGGGACCTAGCCCCGAGCACCCCCGGGAGACTGAAGTGAAACTCCAGCCCAGCCCTCCCCCATGTGGCCAGACAAAGAGATGGAGGAGCCGGGCGAGACAGACACCCCTCACCTCCTGCCCCAGTCCCCAGGGCCATGGATAAGGGTCCACGGGGCCCCGGGGCTGCCCCTCTCCCTTCCTGGGGTGCATGCCCTGCTGGGAAGGGGGCCACACAGCAGAGTACTTGCACCGAGCTGGCCCCGGGACGCGTGCACCCCGCACGCACCCTAGAGTCCCGCTCGCTCCCCACCGCGCCGCAAGCCCTACCCCGCCCTCTTGTGCACCCCCAGGCTCACACCACCCCAGTCCCCTAACTCCAGAGAAAGTTCCAGCTCCACACTCAGGCTGGGGTCGCCCTCTCCCGAGAGCACACTTCAGTCTAGGGCAAAAAGAGGGCGGGGGGGGCAATTCCCATGGCGCCCCAGAGCACGCACCTCACCTCATCCCGGGGAACTGCCCACCCCGACTCACACACCCCAGCGGATGCCGACTCCCGCCGTCCTACCTCCCGGCCAGGGCTGGGGAGCCGCGAGCGGGCGGGGCGAGCCGGGAGAAAGTTGCCCGGAGCTTTGTTTGGAAAAGTGGGAGGGACCGTGGGGGGGCGGGCCTGGCAGCCCGCGCCGGGATCCCACAGTGACCTGGGGCCAAGCTGGCTTTGGGATGGAGTCTGTGTAAATGCCGCACGCGGGTCCCCAGGAGAGGGAATGGTTATGGGGCCTGGACCCCTGGCCCGAAGGAGGAGGCTGGGAAGGACCCCTGGGTCCGAGGGAGGAGGCTGAGGAAGAACCCTGGGGCTCCAGGGAGGAGGCTGGGGAGGACCCCTGGGGCTCCAGGGAGGAGGCTGGGGAGGACCCCTGGGTCTGAGGGAGGAGACTGGGAAGGACTCCTGGGTCTGAGGGAGGAGGCTGGGGTCTGAGGGAGGAGGCTGGGAGGACCCTGGATCCAAGGGAGGAGGGCTGGGAGGACCCCTGGGTCTGAGGGAGGAGACAGGGAGGATCCCTGGGTCTGAGGGCAGTTGAGGAGAGTGGAGTCCTTCTGATGGAGGAAATGTGGCCTGAACCAAACTCTTGTTTGTGTGCTGGGAATGTGGACATTATGAGAAAACAAAAGAATATTTTCTGTTCTTCCCAACTTTGTAGATATGAGTCCAGTTTTATTTTATTTTTATCTCTTTTGAGACAGGGTCTCCCTGTAGCCCCAGCTGGCCTGGAACTTGCACTGTAGACCAGGCTGGTTTTGTCACAAATTCGCCTAATAATGAGATTCTGTCTAAAAAAAAAAAAAAAAAAAATGGGGCGACTGACAGTGCAGGCCTATAATCTCAGCCTGGGAGGCTGAACCAGGAGGAAAGTTCAAGGCCTGCCTGGGCTACAGAATGAGTTCAAGGGAGACTTAGTGAGACCAGTTCCAGAGGATCCAGCATCCTTTTCTGACCTCTATAGGCATTGCAGGACATTGGTGCACTTACATACATACATACATGCAGGCAATACATGCAAACACATAAAATAAATAAATATATATATATATATTTTTTTAAATGACACCGGGCGTGGTGGCGCATTCCTTTAATCCCAGCACTCAGGAGGCAGAGGCAGGTGGATCTCTGTGAGTTCGAGGCCAGCCTGGTCTCCATAGCAAATCCAGGCCAGCTGGTGCTACAGGGAGACCCTGTCTCAAAAAACCAAAAAAAAAAAAAGAAAAGAAAAGAAAAAAAGATGAAGGAGGGCTGGAGAGATGGCTCCGTGGTTAAGAACACTGACTGTTCCTGCAGAAGACCAGGGTTCGAATCCCAGCACCCGCATGGCAGCTAACAACTGTCCGTAACTCCAGTCCCAGTGGATCCGACTGCCTCTTCTGACCTCCGCGGACATTGCACGATGAGGGTGCACTTACCTACATGCAGGCAATGCACGCATACACATAAAATAAAAATAAGTAAAATTAAGCAGGGCGTGGTGGCGCACGCCTTTAATCTCAGCACTTGGGAGGCAGAGGTAGGCGAATCTTTGTGAGTTCAAGGCCAGCCTGGTCTACATAGTGAGTTCCAGGACAGTTCCAGCTGGAGCTACAGGAAGACCCTGTCTCAAAAAGACTCCCCCCGCCCCCTCCAAAAAAGCCTGTTTCTTGGACAAGGTCAACAGATAGGGGCGTGGCCACACTTTAGGGGCGTGGGCAGGGAGAGCATGTGGGGCTCTGGCTTTAAGGGGCGTGACTAATGAACAAGGGCGTGGCTTTCCCGGAGGCGTGACCATGGCTTTAAAGCCTGTTTCATGGGCAAGGTCAACAGATGTGGGTGTGGCCATACTTTTTGGGGCGTGGTCATGGTTTACGGGTGTGGCCAAGGAGAGCCTGTAGGGCTCGGCTTTGAGGGGCGTGGCTAATTAACGGTAGAGGCGTGGCTTTTCTGGTTACGTGGTTTTTCTGTGACGTCATCGGTTGGCCTTGGCCAGGCCGTTGGGGGCGTGGCCAGTCTTGAGGCGCGCACCCAACGCTCCAGCATTCTGCCTGGACTCGAGGCCAGAACTGGATTATAACAGTCCGTGGCCAGCGGCGTCCGGAGCGGGGTGGCCCAGCTGTGGTCCAGGAGAAGGCAAAGGTGAGGAGGAATGGGAGGACGGACCCGTAGGGGACTGAGCGCGCCTGAGATGGAGAGTACGAGAGGAGGCTTGGAAGAGGCAGGGCAGGTGGTGGTGGGACCAGAAGGGGGCAGGGCTGGTGGGGGCGGCTCCTGGAAGGGTCAGGTGGGGCTGCCTGAGGCAGGTGGAGGCTGGCTCTGCACAGACACCACCACTGACGCTGCTTTGTCACAGTCTCCCACCAGCCGCAATGTGGCACCTCGGGGTCCTGCTGCTGCTCCCCTCAACCCTGGTGTCTCCCTCCTTTGCTGCCCCGATCCATGATGCCGACCCACAGGAGAGCACATCAGGGTTCCTGGGCCTTCAAAGTTTTCTCCAAACCTTCAGTCGACTTTTTCTGAAAGTGAGTGAGGAATGGCAGAGCTTGGGGGACCTTGAGAAACAGACCAAGCGGGGTGGGTAGGAAAAGGAGTCAAAAGGAGAGGGGAACTGAAGAGATGGCTCAGCCGTTAAGGGCGCTTGCTGTTTCCGCCTGAGTTCAGGCCCCCAGCACCTACATCACTGGATGGTCCCCTAGATGTCCAGGGGAGTCCACACCCTTTTCTGACCTCCGAGGGCACTGCACTCACATGTATACCACACACACATAATTAAAACCGAGGGAGGGAGGGAGGGAGGGAGAGAGGGGGAGAGAGAGAGAGAGAGAGAGAAAAGATAGAGAGAGAGAGATAGAGAGAGAGAGAGAGAGAGAGAGAGAGAGAACTGTTGCTCAGTGGTCAAGCCCCTGCCTAGAATCCCCCAGTGAGAGGCTGGGGTTATGGTCAGGGGTACAGGGTGGTCAGGGGTGCAGGGCTTGCCTGGCTCATGTGAGGTGAGGCAGATCTAAGGAGAGGAAGGACAGGGAGGGAGAGGCACATCAAGGCATTGGGACATGGGCTATGGTAGCAAGAGGCCTTAAGGATCAGAGCATCAGGAGAGAAGGGGATAGAAGGGACAGGGGCATCCTGGCAGAGCTTTGGGTGTACAGACTGTTCTCCAACCCTAGGATGACCTGTTACGGGATCTGGACAACTTTCTTTCCTCCCCCATGGACTTCCGGGACCTTCCTAGGAACTTCCACCAGGAAGAGAACCAGGAGCACAGGATAGGGAACCATACGCTCTCCAGCTACTTGCAGACAGACAAGGTGCCTCATCAGGGCAGTCCCTCCTGAAGTCTCCCCACCATCCTTTCATACCTGTCAGAGGGGAGGAAGGTGAAGGAGGAAAAGGGGTGTCCTTTGACCCACTCATGCCATCTTCACAGATGACTGACAAGACAGGGGAGGTGCTCATCTCTAAGAAGGTAGTTGCCTCCATTGAGCCAGAAGAAAACCTGGAAGGCGACTGGAGGGTAAGCACACACACACACCGCCCCTGGGGTATTCAGGAGTCAGCATTTTTCTGTAGTTTAGGAGGTGAGTAGTTCACCCCTAGCCAGGGAGAATGTCCTCCGTTCATTTCTGTTGCTGTGATAAAACACCTTGACTGAAATCAACATGGGGGAGAAAAGGCTTTATTTGGTTTAAAATTCCAGGTCTTGCTTATCACTGAGGAAAGGTCAAGGCAGGAACTCAGAACTTCAGATCCACAGTCAAGGGCAGAGAGGGAGTAGCTGCATTCTTGCTAAGTAGCTTTCTCCTGTCATACAGAAACCCCTGCCTAGAGAATGGTGGGCAGAGTCTTCCCACATCAATTAACAATACAGTTCTCAGGGCTAGAGAGCTGGCTCAGTGGTTAAGAGCACTGGCTGCTCTTGCAGAGGACTTAGGTTCGGTTCCCAGCCACCCATATAGTAGCTAACAACCATCTGTAACCCCAGCTCTAGGGGATCTAATAAACTCAGGAGGCAGAGTTCAAGGCCAGCCTGGTCTACATAGCAAGTTCCAGGCTTCAGGGAGATCCTGTCTCAAAAAGACCAAAATAATAATAATAATAATA